CAATGAAATTTGGGGTTGGGCTTTTTAGGTAAATGAATGTTTTTCATTTTTTAAGTAACCTGTTTTATATTGTTTAGTCCTATCAGCCCTCCTGTTGTGGACCTCAGAACCATCATGGAAATAGAAGAAAACAGACAGAAATGTGGAGCTACACCAAAGTCAAATTCTGGGTTAGTTTAAAAAAAGCACAAAAAACAAAAAGACTAAATTATGTTTTATATAAATGTAATACAAAAAATTAGATCTACTGGATCTGGCTTACATCTTACATAATAATTACAATCTTCTATATAACTTGCCTTTGTAATATTTCTTAAATCTGTGCTAAAGATTGAGATGAGCTTGTAGACTTGTGAAGTTCAGTATTGTCTCCTAGGAACTTGACTTTAACACTTCACTGCGTCTGTTTCTGTAGAAAAGCTAACAACTTAAGGTTGTCAGTTCTCCTTGGAAAGTCTGTGTAGGAGGGCACATGTACAGATAGCTGTACGTGACCATGAATACTATACATTGATGTCAGTGTTGAAACTTGTGAACACTAAAGTCCTACCACATGAGTACAGTACATTATGTGCAGTCTGCATAAACACAAATTAATGTTCATTGATGTAGCAAAATGATTGTTCATGAAAATAGACTTTCTCAGAAGTAGTGAAACTAATTGGTTTAATTCAATTTTTTAGCAAAGTGATATCTCATGGGGTTAAACTTTCCCAGAAGCAAAGAAAAATGATCGCATTAACCACCAAAGAACACAATTCAGGAACAAGCAGCCTGGAAACAGCTGTGACTGCTTCTTCAAAGGCTCCCAAACCAGTGAAGGCCTGGTACATTCTTATTTTTATTAAAATTAGCTTGTATCTGTGGATTAGCTTGTAAGTGGCTTCTGAGATTTTTCCCTGCCTGTGTTTCTGGGCTCTTTTCAAATACTTTATTCCCTTTTGCTTTTAGGTTAAACACTGGATCTTGAGAAAGTAAAAACTTGTTTTTCTTTCAGTTTGGATATATTGACATATATGTGATAATTTTCAAATGTACATATATATTTTATATGTGGCTTCAATTTCTTCTTAGTATTTTATTTAGTTTTTCTTGTTAAGATGATTTAAATGACTTTCCTTTTACAGTTCTTAATAAGTAAAATATACCATAAGCAAACTTCCTAAAAATGAAAATTGATATTCCTTTTAGCATCTTCATTTGTCACAGTGTGAACCTCATAAACCAAAGTTGGGATGTGTAAAATAAGTTCTTCTTTCTGCCTCTCAGCCATCCTTCCTTGTGTTTGTCCCATTGGATATGTCTGGCTTAACAGTATTTTTAAATTTGTCAGAGTTCATCAAGCTCCTTTTGCATTCAGGCTGCCCTGCTAGCTTCTGGTAGGCACCTGTGACAGATATCCTCATTGGTTTTGCAGTATTTGTTGTTTGAATGCTGAATTTTACTTTCTCTAAACAAAAGTATAGAAAAGACCAAAAGGAAAAAAAGTTCATGTAGGAACTGTCAGTATATATATTATACTATATTATATAACATAATGCAATATATTATACTCTGAGAGAATTAACTAACCTCTTTAAGAAACTGACCTTAGTAATGTGAGTTTAGCTATGCCTTCAATCAGTTTCTTATTTTGAAAAGAGGAAACAAATAAAATAAGTTTTATTTGTTTTTCTGGAAACATATTCTTTATAACCGTGCTCTTTGGTGTAAACTGGGTCTTTTTTAGGCCTCCTAATACTTGCCATCTTCAGATGTTCCTTACTTATATTGGAAATTTCCTTTCCTTCCCTCCAAAATTCGATCTTGTTTCCTACACATATCTCAAGTTTATTAGTCCTTGTTTTGATGTAAAGTAAAAGTTCAGTAGTTTTCTGATATGAATACACACACACACACACACACACACACACACACACATTTTGGGGTTCTTAGATACGTGGAATTGTTGTTTATTCTTAGTATGATGGTTAGGTTGGAATAGGATTCTAAACTGGAAGTCATTGGAGAATCTGTTCCTTTGTTTTGTACTGGGAATTGAACTCATGACCTTGTGCTTGCCAGGCTGGTGCTGCACTGCTGAACTGTATCTCCAGCCCAGTCTACCTTTTTCTTCTTCTGTTGCTTTTGGGAAGTCTAGTGCCATTTGAGTTACAATTCTTTATGTGTTACTTTCCGTTTTCCTCTTTCACCTCCTACCTTCCCTTCATAGGCTTTTCTTTCTCCCTGGTATGTTGAAATTTCACAACATTGTACTTTGATAGAGGTCTTTTTAAACATGTTATGCTGAGTACTTGGGGATTGAACCACAGCAACCTGAGCCTGACAGGTTTGTGGAAGCAGCCACTTAAAGAACTGAGCTAGGGCTAGGCCCCCTATGCTGAGTACTTGGGCTCCTTTAATTGGGAAGAGCAGGTCCTTAAGTTCTAGGAAAATCTTATGTGCCATTTTTTTGATGCAGTAGTTTTTTCTCACTGTCTTAGAGTTTCTGTTACTCAGATACTGGTCCTGCTGAATTTATTTTTCTTTTCTGTTGTCCACATATATACCTTTCTATTCTGCATTCTTGAATATTTACTAGACTTTTCAACTATGAATATTGTTAATTGCCAAGAACTTCCTTATTTGCTAGTGGAGATATTTTGTGGTGTTCTATTTAGTGTTCTGTTGAAGATCTTTGTAGTATATAAAGTCACCATTTAGCATCTACCCAACAGAAATACAGGCACATTATACGAGGCAACATGTTTAACAATGTTCATATTATCATTATTCCTGTTAGCTAAAAGAAACAGTCTAAACGTCTATCAAATCGTTCAGGCCAGGGAGATAGCTCAGTGGCATAAGCACCTGTCTCGCAAGCGCAAGGCCCAGAGTTTGATCTCCTATGCCACAAGAAAACAAAAACAGAAAACCCAGTGCTTAAATTACAGATGTTGTGTCACCACACCCAGTTTTGGTGGCTGGCACAGTACATCCGGGGTTCTGGGGCTGGCACGGATGAGATACCAGAGATCAGACCCAGGTCTTTGTGCTTGCTAAGCAGGCACTTGGATTGCTGAGCTGTGTTCCCAGCCCTGAGTTTTATTAGCAATAGAAGACTACCTGGTGATGAAAAACAGTGTATTATAAATTACTGATATGGATGGAGCTTAGCAATCTAATACTGAGAAAAGAAGCCAAACAGAAACTACTGTGTGACTGTAGTTACATTCTGGTTTTATTGATCTTTCTCCTGTTCCTTTTGGGGTTTTGTTTTAGTGGCATATGAATTGACGTTTTTGTTCTTTAGTTCTGAGAAGTGTCTGTGTGGAACAGATGTGACCTGACCCTACGACTAAATGAAGCAACTTTAGAGAGTCTGCTTGTATCAGTTACCTCTTTTATATCTTTTCTCCTTAGTGTGCAAGGGATGTCAGTTTTTTTCTCTAAAGCAGACTTTAAAATTTTGCTAGTAAGGTACACATTTGATTGCCAGTGTTCTGGAGACTGGGCAAGGTTAGGAGGTGTAGGCTGGGACTGATTCTTAGCACTTGGTGTGGATTTTCAGATATGTTGCCAGTTGGTGTGTTGACTTTGAACTATAAGCAGCTCACTCCTATTTTTTTGTTTTACTAATGCCTTTAAAACTAATCTGCCTTCTGTTAAAGGCAGTGAAGTTCTGTGAGTTCAGAGTTGCGTGGCATCTGGCATCTTAACCCGTATACAGTACAACATGTATTAAGACCTTTTTGCCGATGGTCCATAAGTAGTAAGTCCGTAAGGTACTACTGCTGGCAAGCAGTCTGGGATGGGCTAGTGGGAGGAGGAAAGAAGAGAAAAGGAAAAGAGGATGATAAAACAAGAAAATGACGGGCTGGGGTGATAGCTCAGCAGGCTAAGTGCCTGCCTGGTAAGCACAAGGACCCAGGTTCAATCCCTGGTACCGCATACCTGTGGCTAGGTGTGGTGGTACATGCCTGTAATCCCAGTGTTGGGGAGGTTGAGATAGGAGGATCACTGAGTCTGAACTGTGTAGCAAGATCCTGTATCAGAAAGAAAAAAAAAAAAAGGAAAAAAGGAAAAATAACAAATGAGAGAAGTTAGGGAATAGGGTCACTGCTGACCTTATTTTTATAGCTAGAGGACTGGGCTTGTGGAGAGCAGATTTGAGAGACTAGATTGAGGGAGGCTGTGGAAAAGTCAGAGCCAGTATCTGCGCCCTGTGGGCCCAGCGGGGTTACAGCGGCCCCGGCTCGCCCACGGAAGGCGTTGCTCACAGCTCTGCTTTGCTCCTCCGCGCAGCTACAGTTACTCCCCGTTTGGAGGCTAGATGAAAGGAGGAATAGAGAAGAGGGCAGGTGATGGGGTGGGGTAGAAAGGCAACAGGCAGTCCCTCCCACCAAGAAACGCACAGAGACAAACACGTAAGTGGTGCCCAGTCTTATATTACAGTGTGAATTCAGCCAGTGAACTCTTGCTTTCCTCTGTCCGGATGGATTTCTGGGTGCACTGTGTCCTGTGCCCCGACCTTCCTTAGCGTGTTGCTGTAGCCCCACTGCTGCTTCTGTGCGCAGAACTCCAAGCTGGTCCTCCTCCATGTTTCCTTCAGTTCCTGCCTGCGCCTGAGAAAGCTTGGTGAGCCTGATCCTGCTTCCTTGCTGCAAACCGTGCTCAGGTGTGGCTAACTGGAGGCCTTTGTCATTGTGCTCACGTCAGAATCACTCAGATTGTTCCGTGCAGGGTCATCTGCTTGGCACCCAGTTTTCTGCCATTCTGCACAGGTCCTCCTTTCTGCGTGACAAGGCCTGCGGGTACCTCTATTCCCCTCCATGAGGTTCTAATAGCCATGCTGAAGGACAGCTTGTGGCTCTGGCACTGCTTTCAGGCTTGCCACAAAATGTCACTCTTCACCTTGTGGACTTAGCGGTGCTGTAGAGCCCACCGAGCTCAGAAGCTTCCAGCTAAGGGATGAGAGTGCCTGTCGAGGCACCTACAGGCAGGTAGTGGACGGGGAGCATGATGTCCCATAGGCATGGCTGCCCTGGTCAGTGGGGTAAGAGTGAGTGAGTTCCTGTGAGGGCCATGCTGTCCATTTGTCTCCAGGTTCCCTTGTTGCGCAGTAACCCCATTAGCCATGGCTTTCTCTGTGCTTCAATCTCCAGCCCCGATCAGGATCATGTGCTTGTTCTTCACCTTCCCCACAGCCTCCAAGAGTTTTCTCAGGTGCCCAGGTCTGCAGACATCTCATTCTTGTGCTCCTTTTTTTCAGTGTGGAAGGTAGGAAGGGTGAAAGTCTCTTCCAACAGCCTGGCCTCTGCTGAAGTGTAGGCATTCTCCCTCATGGCGTTAGATCCTCTCCCAAGGTGGCTTTTGTGCCAGTCTTGGGGTCCAGGCGTGGTCTGTCTGTCCTTTCTAAACTGCCTCTCGTACTAGATTAAGTCTGGTGCGTTTCTCTCAGTGTTTGCCTTCCTGTAGCTGGCGCTCTTAGCTACCCTAATTTTGATGTAGTACTTTTGTTTTTCCGGAGCACATCTGCAACTTCACACATGCACCGCTGCCTCCACACAGACATCCTCTGCCATCCTTATTTGTGTTTTATATTGAGTTTGAGGAGTTATTTTATACTGTCAATACAAATCTTTATCAAATGTGAGTTTTATATTTTATTTTCTTTATGATACCTTTTGAGCAGAAGAAAATTAAATTTTGGTTAGGTCTAACTTATAAATCTTTATTTGATGATTATTGCTGTGTCCTCTGAAAACTTTTGCATACCAACTTATGATAGTGTCTAGTTATTTTCTAGATTATTTGACTTTTATATTAGTGATTCATCTGACGAATTTTGGAGCATAGGATGGGATAGGCGTTGGGTTTTATTTTTTATAAGAACTTCCAGTTGTAGTTACACCACTCACTGAAATGCTTTGGCAATTCAGCCTTTGAAAGTAAAACAACTCCACAGTGTATTATGAGCACCCAGTGGATTCCCTGTACTCTGATTTGTCAGTCCCCATGCCAGTATCACACTATGTTGCTGATGCTTAATTTGTTTGATCTTTTTTCCAACTTGAGGGCTTTTTTTTAAAGAATGTATAAGCTTTTTGTATTTCATACAAATTTTAAAATGAGTTTATCAGTTCTCTAATTTAGCAACTACTGAGGCTAATGCAATTTTTTAAAAAATAATTTTATAGAGAAACAAATAGCAATGAGACAGTTTCAAAACAATGCGATTTTGAGGAGCCAGGGAGATGGCTCAGTAGAATTAGTGCTTCCCTGACAAGCATAAGGGCTTGAGTTCAATCCCCGGTTCTGCCAAAAAAAAGACTGTACACTAACAAGGGTTAATGGTGCCATCCCATGCCCTTGCTACTATTGGGACCGGGGAGATGGTTCAGTAGAATAAGCACTTCCCTGGCAAGTGCAAAGGCCTGAGTTCAATCCCCAGTTCGAAAAACAACAACAACAACAACAACAAAATGCAATTTTTATGTAGTGTAACTATATAGAATTTATTCTTTTAATTTGTTTTTTCAGGATGTTTGTCCATACCTTGTAGTTTATCAAATTTATTTGCATCAAGTTGTTTATAGTATTTCCTTATTATTCTTTTAATTTTTGAATTCTATTATAAATGACCCCAAGAGCACCTTAAAACAACCAGCCTTCATTATCTCACAATTCCTGTGGGTCAGAGATCTTTGTGTTGTGTTCTGGCTCAAGGCTTCTGTCCGTGCTGCTGCAGTGAAGGTCTGGCTAGGGCTCTACATTCCAGGTTTGCCTGGAGGAGGGTCCTCTTCTAAGCACACTATCATAGGTAGACGTGGGATTGGCAGTTTTTCTGCTGTGATTACATTAAAGATGCCTTTTCAGTTTTCTAGCCTCCATTTTGTTTTAAGCAACATACCTATATTTTGTTGCATTTGTTTGGCTACTTTCAAGATTTTATCTTTAGTTTTAAGTAGTTTCTAAGTATTTTGTCTGTTGTATCTCTCCTCTGGTTTTGGTACTCTATCAATCCACTTATATGGGCTGGACCTTAAAAGGTTCCGTAAGTGTGCTGATTCAAATTTTTTCACTCATTTATTTTCTCTGGTCTTCAGATTCAAATTTTGCTATTAATTTATCCCAAGTGTATTCACTCTTAAGTCTGCCAAGTCCATCCTAGAGAATCTTGTTTTTTATTGTATTACAGTTCTTGAAGTTCCACTTTGTTCTTTTGTTATTGGTGTTTCTTTTGCTCTGCCTAGTTCACCTGTTTGTTAAGTCATCCTGCACATGGTTTTGTAGCTGTCCTCTGAGGCATGGTTGCAATAGCTATTTCAGTGTCATTGCTAATTTCAGCATCCGGCTTTATTTGCTGTGCTGGTATCCAGTGTCTCTTCTTGCTCATTGTATAGTTTTGGTTGGTTCCCCACAGATGGCAGTAACGCAGTATCACATTGAAAACTGTAATTATATAACTATAACATTTTTGGCTTATGTTCTGTTGTCTACTTTTAACCTTCAACAAAACCCTTTACAAAGTGGATGTTTTAATATGGCCTTTGCTTTCTTTTATAGGACATCTTCTCTGCATTCATTTTCATCCAAGTCATTCTGGGATTTCTCTTTAGAAGACAGAAAATCTGTCATTAACCATAATGCAGGGGATCATGTCCAAAAACCTTGCTTTAAAAGAACTGAAGATTCTCAGGCTCCAAAAGTTATAAGGTAAAAAACCCAAAAACTCATTCGTGAAATGCAAATTAAAACAAATTGAGATATCATCTCACCCCAGAAAGAATGGCTATCATAAAGAAATCACCCAACAACAAATGTTGGAGAGGCTGTGGGGAAAAAGGAACCCTTCTC